AAAAATTTGAATAATCACCTATGTAATATTTGTATTATGGCAACTGTTACTAATGATTGGGTTAGGATACCTGTAATAGTGGTTGCACCAGCATGACTGGTAGGTCATGAGCATTCGTGTAATAGGTCATATGACATTGTTCTTTGGAACAAGGTTGTGGTTACATGATTGAATGCAAACTGGCAATAGGTGGTGCAAACACTAGATAAGTTCTTGTGGCTATATAAATTCATTGAAATTAGGTAACAAAAAGTCCATTTGGGAAGACCTGAGTAAAGAGGTAGCCAAATCTTTGATGGCCCTACTGTAAAGGCTAGCCTTATGAAACGGATACCAAGGTTGAAGTAGCCAGACAGGCAAAAACCTCTAGGTGGGGGGTACTACCAACCAGGCTGCTGAATCGAGCTAGAGGAAAAGGATATCGGGCCGACCTGATATATCAATGGACTGGTTATAAGTCCTACCGGGCTATCTGGATTGGGAGTTTGGTGAACTGGCAGGGGTATACTAAAGTATTTCAGATATGCTGTGAAGTAGATGCTGGGGTTTGTATGAACTCTACAAGGGCATAGCAGTTTAATGGTCAGCCCTGACCACAAGTGTTGGTTCTGCCATAGCAATACCTAGGTCAGCTTTAAAAATGGGTACAGAAGGCTTTGGGAAGTTTACCTCGAGGATAAATTAGTCCTAAGGTTGAAGATGATGATCTGGTATATCTAAAATGTCCAATGATGTTAACACAGGTTACAGGTTCAGAGGGTTTAAAGTGGAACATCCAAGTAGGGGTATTAGGTACGGCAATTGGTAGGGAACCTTCAGACGGACTCCTTAAATAGGTAATATAGAAAAGTTACATGTGTAGCCAATTGTACGCTCTCCTGTAGTAGTTCATTGAACCACAATACTGACAAGTAATTAATAAAAGTCAAAAGACCAAAGAGGTCATCTTAAAAAAAATATATATATATAATAGTGAATATGATTCATTCCTATTCTTGATATCAGTTTTCCTCCTTATTTACAAGAACTATCTACAAGAATCCATTTGCTCAGATAAAGGTTGAATACCCACAAATGAAAATTCAACTATGAAAAGTAGAACATCTGAACTGTCAAAATTATATTAAAAATTTTGTGAAACAAAAAAAATCAAATAAATCCCTTAGTATTAAAACCTCAAATAAATACCAAATCCTAACCTTCACTACTAAATAATTTTCTAAGTTATTCTTTATTACCCTACATTTATATAAATGAAAAAACCATTCTATATTTAATCCAATAAATTAAAAACATTTCTTTCAAATTAATTTATTTATTAATTCTGGAATTAACTAGCAATGAATAATATTATTAAGATATTTAATTTTCAATCCAATAATTTCAATATTACTGTCATAATTAAAGAATTGGTCCCATATGTGGGCTAATGATGGATTGATTAAATTCAATTTTTTTAAAAGTTTTTTTATTTCCAAATCAAAAATTCTTTTTTTATTCTTAAACCTTTGCTTTTTTATGATGTCACTTGAATGTTCTGAGTTTATAAAATTTGCTTGGTCAATTGTTGTTTTTAGAACTTTATTATTATTTATAGTTTGTTCATTTTCTTTTTTAAGAAGCAAATATTCATTTCTGACTTATTCATTTTCTTGTTTGAAGAGCAAACATTTATTTCTGACTCAATCATTCTTTTGCTTAAGGAGTAAGTTTTTTTTTCTGATTTGTTCAATCTTTTTTAATGTAAAATTACTCGATTTATTAAGCTTTGTCTTAAGTAAACTGTTTTCTTCTTCCATTTGGAGATTATCATCTTTCGTTTCATTTGCATTATTCATTTCATTTATTAACTCTTCAATATATATTACATGAATAAATTCATCATCAGTTAGATATTCATTAAACACTTCTTGGATGGATTCAGTTTTTGATAAATCAATAATTAAATAGCAAATAAATAAAAATATTGTAAGATAAAAGATATTTAAGAAATCTATTTTGCAATTTATTTTTGAGAAATATGATTTCGCACAGTTTAAAGGTACTTCTAACGATTTTAAATAAATTCATTAAAATCTAAACTCTGCATAACTAATTCTTGTGCATAATAATTGTAAGAAACTTGTTAATGATTCAAAAAAAAAGAAAAATTTTTTACATTTACTTGAGACCTAATTTTTGCAAATGTGCATTATCACATAGCATTTTGGAGCTTAGCATGCAAATTTTCTTTGTTACTATAAAAAAAAACTTGATTATTTAAAAAAAAGAATTTTTTTTACATTTTCTCAAGACCTTGATTTTTCACAAATATGCATTATTACACAGTATTTTTGATGCTTAGCATATGTATTAAAATGCATCAGTTCTATTATCTTACCAATCCTAATTAAGCAATTAATTGAGTTTACAAATTTAACTTTAATTGTATAAATATATTAAAATTCAGAACTGAATTTATTTTAATATAATAAATTCGGTATGAAATAAATTATCAGTTTAATTCAATATACATATCATTATATGTTAATAAATCGTAATTATTAGTAGATTATAACTAGACACATAATGTTGTGCATTCACCTTGTATTATACAAAATTCATTTAATCAATACATTGCCAGTGAGGTTTTTTATAATTGAAAATATAATGATTTATAAATAGAGAATAAAAAGTTCATTATTGAGTTTGCTATAAAAGGTCTCTCTTAATCCAAAGTTAACTTTTCTGTATATCTGTTCTGTTTAAAAAAATTGTAATATTTTATCTAATAAATCTAAATAATAAATTTAAATAATAAACTAACAAATCGATGTTAAATTCAATTCTCATACAAACTTATAGCTTCACTAAAATGTCTAAACAAAATAAAACTAATAGAATCCATACATACAGACATTCAAAAGGATTTACTATTTCAATTGTAGGAAATATAAAAGTGACTATTAAATTAGGAAATTATAACAAAATACCACTATCTATTAATTTTCTAATATTGATTTTGCTACAATTTCACTAATACATTCCAATTACAAAACAATGTTTGAACTCAATCAAGTAAAATACAACGAAGCAAGAAAGATTTTGACAGCTGAAAGTGGAAGTGGAAGAACAAGAATGAATGAAAACATTCAGTCCGAGATGAATGAAAATGTTCAATCCAAAATGAATGAAAACAAAACTTCGGAAATTACAGAATATAAAATGAAAAACCTGATTTTATGTTTTCAGTCATGAGATTTATTTATATGTCATGTGATCTGATACAAAAAATTATGTAAAAATTCTATTATAAAAAATGTGGATATTACTCATTTTTTTAAAATTCAAAAATTGTATTCTTTATAGTTTTAATTTAAAAGATTAAATTTTTTTGGTATAAAAGTTTTGATAAGAATATATAAATTTTTTTTATGAATAAAAGGTTTTAATATTGATAAAAGGTAATTTGATTCGAATAAATAAATAAAATTAGCTAAATAAATGGCTTAAAAACTAGTGCACAATATTGAAAAGCCTGAGAATTGTTATGAAAATGTCAAACAGCAATTCTAACTAACAAAAAAATCTCATGAACTTATTAAAAGCCATTAACACCTATTATTATGAACTAAAGAATTTTTTGTGATATACTGGAAAATAGATTGAAGCTTCATTATTAGACCAGCTTTGAGCTGTAAATATTTGGGCTTTTGCTATAAAAATGTCCCACTTTGCAAGTCATTTATAGCAAAATCCCATGCAAACAACATTTCTAAAGAAAAGGATGTCACTACTTATAATTACATTATTAAATAAGTAAAAACTTTAAAAGTTACTTATCGATTGTGTTTCTGATCATAAATCTCTGTACTGAAATAAATAATAGCTTGATTGACTTTCTACTAGATCACAAATATTCATTTGCTCTTTGATAAAAGGGCAGATTGTAAAAGATAAGTACATGTCTCTCAAGCTAAACCAAATTGTATAGCATTAAGCCAGTTGCTTAGCCAACTTGGCTTTACAAAAAAAATAAATAGTTCAGTATTTGGGATTGGGATGAAAATAAAAGTTGGTTTTGTTTATATTCAAATTCTATTTTTTCTGCTATTAAAAGGAATAATTTAAAAAAATGATAATTGTTCATATGGAACAAAGTAAAAAGTAAAGCGCAATAATTTAAGTATGAACAATATTAGTACTACCATTAATCATACAGTCTTTTCAAGTCTGTTAACTAAAGACTATATATTGACACCTATTTAGTAAGCTAGTGGTAAATAGGCTCTGCAGCTGCGCTGACAGTGCAAGGCCTTACATTTGGCAATTAGGCTACTAGGGTTCATGTTTTTGTTTAGGCATTGTGGCTGGGTAGTGCAAGGCTTGTAGCTGCTGTAGGCAGTGCAAGAACCTATTTCATAGAGCAAAGATTCTCTTTATAGCTATATGACAAGATGTGGATTTTTCATTTGTAATAGAGCTTATGGAGCTTATAAATCTTATAAAGCCTGTTGATGATAGTGAACAGAATCACTATATAATTCTTCGTGCAAATAAAGTTATCTGATCGAGCAATAATAATGACTAAAAAAATTAAAATTTCAATAATCGTTTTAAGGGTCTCCATTATTTTATTCGACCTGAAAATTTTATTCTATTTTTTTGAGAGTAAGTAACTTCTTTTATGCTGATTTCATAGGCAGTTGGTCCACATAATCGAACATTTAATTTTGTATTTTTAATAATAATTTTTTTCAATAAGTTAGTAATTTTATTGCACATATTAGTATAAAATATATTGAAGTCATTGTATTCTCCTTTTATTTTATCTCTTGCTACATTTATATCTTGCTAAATTTCGAGGAATCTATTATCTATTTGCTCATCAGTATTACTTTCATTTTTGTAATCTAAGTTTTCATATTAAACCTATAGGTTATGTAAACTTATAAGATTTAAACATTTGAAAATGATGCTCTATTTTTTTATCACATACCTTAATGGTTTCAGAAGGTGCATTTATAATATTATTTGCAAATAACTCTAAATTATTATTTAGATCATCTTTTGAGGTATCTGAAAAACTTAACAAATCGAACTTTTCGATATTAACTTGATTCCTTATTTCTTTAAAGGGATTATCTATAATTTTAGATGTCCAAATCATTCTATTAAATTGATGATAAGATAATGTAGAGGACAGCATTCTGTCTACACTTATTTTATTGGGTCGATCTTTAGAATCGAAAGATTTGACCTGTAGTAAAATTTTATTCAATAAAACATTGTGAAATAGGTTACCAAAATAATTTATTGAATCGATTCTTCTCATTAAAGTGGATCTGAAAATATTATGATAAGCATTCATCTTAAAATTTGAATAAATTTTTAGAAATTTAATAATATCGCTAATTAGGTTTCTATGTTCATACAATTTTAGGATAAAGAATAAATTAAAATATGATTCAGTAGTGAAGGTTGGAAGTTGGGATTTATTCGATACTTTAATGCTAACAGTATTGTCATGGGTTTCTTTTGATATTTTTGTTTTATAAAATTTTTAGTACTATTTTGATAGGCTATTCCAATTTGATATAAATAGCATTTAAATTCAGTAAAAAAGGAAGCAATGATTTTCTTAGTGAAAAAGAGCTGAAATGACTTTACTAAAGTTTGTTTTGATAACCATTCTATAATTTTTTTACTGCTCGCAGAATTATTATTTTGGTTTAAAGAATTAAAATGCATCATATCTTTATGTATCAGATAAGATTCTTCATCAGTGAATGATCTGCTTTTGTTTATTTCTCCTTTATTAGAGTTAATGTATTCAGGTTCATAGATAGCTATCATAAATAATATAGAAAACTCGACAGCAAGACTGGAAAACAACAAAAATGGAAATGAAATTAAATTATTCAATAGTAAAATTAAGGATGTGAAAATCAAAGAAGCAAAGATCAAAAAAATCCAAAAAATTAAGGCTCAGAAAATCAAAGAAAATAAAAATATGATGGTTGTATAGGCAATTTTAAGCAAAAGTGCTAAAGGCTTTAGAATATTTTTTGACATTTTGTAGTTTACAGTCAAAAATTAATGAGAACTAAAGTGTTCCTTTTAATAGCATTTTTTCATAAATGAACTTGTTCAAATAAGAATAATTAATTATCTTCACTGTGGTCATTCGTATTACCTATCTTATAAAACATTAAAATGAAACTCCGAGTTATACATGATATACAGCATTTCATGATAATGATTAGTAATATTACAATATAATATATAAAACAGATTTGTTATGCAATTATATGCATTAAAACATACCAGATATTGTAAAGTTTATTTAAAGAATTTTTCAGAATAAAAATATGTGAATACTATGCAACAATCTATAAGATTCCAAGAAAGGTGTAGCATAGACAGAAATTTATCTACTGATATAACAAAGTTCTAATTCTTCACGTGCTATTGCAACAGGCTTTGTTCAATAATTTGTTTCTGTCTTCACCTCTGTTATTTGTATCACTTACAAAACATCAAAATGAAATTCTAAAGTATGTAATGTTATCTATAGAGCAAATGATGTATAAATTTTAATATATTGAAACTTTAATAATGCTGATCTGTTACTCAATTTAAAACTTTATATATGATTAAATCATATATAAATTATATACTGTATTTTAGGAAATAGTATAAAGGTAGCTACATTTATCATTCAGAATTTCTATCATTTAAAAGTTAGAGAGCCAAGATTATTAAAATGAAAGAGAATAATTTAATACAAATCAATGGATTATATTTAAAAGATAATATACACAAAACCAAATATTATAGAAAAAATAAAATTTGTTGTAAATGTAATTGAACAATAATCTTAGCAATAGTTCTTCTTATGGAGATTTTAATATTTTTAATTATTTATAGGTAAGTAAGTTTTATTTGCTCTTTCCTTTAAACTATATTAAAAATTTGTATTAATTTGTGAACAATTTATAGTGTCAAAAGTTTCTGCCATTTATATTTGTACACTAAACCTTACGAGCCAATAGTGCATAGAACTTTTAAAATTGACCAATCTGAACTTTGGTATATAATAGTACAAATAAGAGAACAAATAAGAAATTTTTTTTTAAAGTAATAGCTGGAAGTCGTGAATTTGGATATCCAAATCATGATGGGCACATGCTGTATTAAATTAGTTTCAATTTATTTACTTGGATTGATTTGTTCATGTTTTCTTGAAAATAAAATTTATAGTAGTGAATAATTTGAATACCTGTATTGAAATTTTGTAAAATAGGCAGCACTGTATTTTATTAATGTTAAATTCATATCAAATATTTGATAATGATAATACATGAATTTTTATTTGATTTGTGCAGAATAAGTTTTACAGCATAGTTACTGTTCTGAAATTGGCACTTTTTTTTTGTATATAATGCTGGCCAAAATCATTATAAAGCAGGCAAAAGTTGGCATAGTGCATGCCATAGAGCTTATTTTCAGGAGTGCTTAATTTTGGGATTGTCAAAAATGTAGATTAACTCAATCAAATCAGCTGGATCTCCCATTTTTTAGGGTTCAGATTTTTTAACTAATACAAATATATGATCAGCATTTAAATTGTTTAACAATCAATTTTACTTTCTTCTCAATAGGCAAACCAAAAAAAAATAAAACAAAACAGACAAATCTTTACATTTCAAGACTAAAAGAGGAGATCTCTTTAGTCAATCCTGATTACACTCCTAATATTAAAATTAATAATTATCAAGGCTGGCAGCAAGTTCTTGCTGCATTGAAAAAACACAAAGAACAGACTCAAATTAATCTTGACTGGGAGGAATTTTATTATCAAGTAAACCATGCTCAGGCGATGTATAATCAAGTTAAGTGAACTGATGAACATTTGCAAAAAGAAGAAATTAATAAGTTAATTAAGTCCTCAATATCTGGTTACAATTCTCAAACTAGTTCTTTTAATGAATTTTCACATTGGAAAAAGTTTTATAATTACATTGTTTTATTAATAGAAAATCCTAAATTACAAGAGAATAATATTCTGATTGATTTTCATTTTAATCAATTTATTGGGTTAGGACTTACAGTAAACTATCTATATCAAGTAGAAGAAGACAATTTTAAATCTTTTTTGAATATATTTGAGCACTATTGTATTAAAAAGTACTTTGAAAAAAAAGATAATATAAATTTTGAGATTTTAAATTTATGATAAAATTTAAATAGTACGTGTTATGATTTTAATTTTAATTTTATGATAGGTTTAATTTATTATGTTTGTTATTAATAATATTATAATTTTTTAAGCTAATAAACTGATCTAATAATATTCTATTTGATGTCAAAATGATGTTTGATGAAACTTTCAGATAGAGTTTAATGTAAAAATCTTGTTTGATGTTGTGAAACTTTCATTCATGTGTAAACAGTTAGAACTGATGCAAAATATTGTTTAAAATAGGTTTTAATATAATAAAACTGATTGTAGGATGTTAAGTAGTCTGACTAGCTAGTTAAACTAGTTCAATTGAAAAGATTACATTAATGTCATGCAACTTTCATCTAGGAATTGATTTCTTGATGTTGAAACTTTTGTAATTCCTTAATTTTGTATTTCCTTGTTCTACTTTCATCATGTGTAAATAGATAGAAGTTGATTTCCTTGTGTGAAAATCTAGTTGATTCCAGTGATGTTATAAAACTTTTGGCTGTGTTTGTATTTCCTTAATATTGTAAAACTTCAGTCGTATTTGAAGATAGAAGTTCCTTTGTTCTACTTTCATCCATGTGTAAATAGATAGGTCAAAACTTTTAGTCATGTTTGTGATTTCTTAATGTTGTGAAACTTTCAGCCATGTTTAGAAAGTTATAAGTTTTCTTGTTCTACTTTATCGTGTAAATAGATAGGTTAATTTCCTTGTGTAAAAATCTAGTTGATTCTGGTTGATTATAAAACTTTCAGCCATGTTTGTAATTTTTTAATGTTGTGAAACTTTCAGCCGTGTTTAGAAAGATAGGAGTTTCCTTATTCTACTTTTATTTGTGTGTAAATAGATGAAAGTTGATTTCCTTGTGTGAAAATCTAATTGATTCTGGTTGATGTCATAAAACTTTCAGCTGTGTTTGTAATTCCTTAATGTTGTGAAACTTTCAGCCATGTTCAGAAAGATAAAAGTTTTCTTATTTTACTTTCATCTATGTGTAAATAGATAGAAGTTTCCTTGTTCTACTTTCATCCATGTGTAAATAGATAGGTTGATTTTCTTGTATGAAAATTTAGTTGATTCCAGTTGATGTCATGAAACTTTCAGCTGTGTTTTTATTTCCTTAATGTTGTGAAACTTTCAGTCATGTTTAAAGATAGAAGTTTTCTTGTTCTACTTTTATCCATGTGTAAATAGATAGGTTGATTTCCTTATATGAAAATCTAGTTAATTCCAGTTGATGTCATGAAACTTTCAGCTGTGTTTGTGATTCCTTAATGTTGTGAAACTTTTGGCCATGTTTAGAAAGATAGGAGTTTCTTTATTCTACTTTCATTTGTGTGTAAATAGATAGGTTGATTTCCTTGTATGAAAATCTAGTTGATTCCAGTTAATGTAAAACTTTTAGCCATGTTTGTGATTTCTTAATTTTGTGAAACTTTTAGCCATGTTTAGAAAGATAGGAGTTTCCTTATTCTACTTTCATCTATGTATAAATAGATAGATTGATTTTTTTGTATAAAAATCTAGTTAATTCCAGTTGATGTAAAACTTTCAGCCATGTTTGTATTTCTTAATGTTGTGAAACTTTCAGCCATGTTTAGAAAGATAGGAGTTTTCTTATTCTGTATGTAAATAGATAGAAGTTGCTTTCCTTGTGTAAAAGTCTAATTGATTCTGGTTGATGTTGTGAAACTTTCAGCTGTGTTTGTGATTCCTTAATGTTGTGAAAGTTTTAGCTGTTTGTGATTCCTTAATGTTGTGAAACTTTCAGATATGTTTAGAAAGATAGGAGTTTTCTTATTCTACTTTCATCCATGTGTAAATAGATAAAAGTTGATTTTCTTGTGTGAAAATCCAATTGATTTTAGTTAATATCATGAAACTTTCAGCTGTGTTTGTGATTCCTTAATGTTATGAAACTTTCAGCTGTTTGTGATTCCATAATGTTGTGAAACTTTCAGACATGTTTAGAAAGATAGGAGTTTCCTTATTCTACTTTCATCCATATGTAAATAGATAGAAGTTGATTTCCTTGTATGAAAATTTAATTGATTCTAGTTGAAGTTGTGAACCTTTTAGCTGTGTTTGTGATTTCTTAATGTTAAAAACTTTTAGCTATGTTTAGAAAGATAGGAGTTTTCTTGTTCTAGTTTCATCAGTGTATAAATAGATAAGTTGATTTCCTAGTGTAAAAATCTAGTTGATATCATGAAACTTTCAGCTGTGTTTGTGATTCCTTAATGTTGTGAAACTTTTAGCCATGTTTAAAAAGATAAAAGTTTTCTCATTCTACTTTCATCCGTGTATAAATAGATAGGTTGATTTCATTGTGTAAAAATCTAGTTGATTCCGGTTGATGTCATGAAACTTTCAGCTGTGTTTGTGATTCCTTAATGTTGTGAAACTTTCAGCCATGTTTAGAAAGAAAAAAGTTTCCTTGTTCTACTTTCATCCGTGTGTAGATAGATAGGTTGATTTCCTTGTATGAAAATCTAATTGATTCTGGTTGATGTTGTGAAACTTTCAGCTATGTTTAGAAAGATAGGAGTTTCCTATTCTACTTTCACTTATATGTAAATAGATAGGTTGATTTTCTTGTTTAGAAATCTAGTTGATTCTGGGTTGATGTCATAAAACTTTCAGTTGGGAATTGATTTCTTTTTTAATGTTTAATTTTTTAGTCACATAGTGTGAACACCTTATGATTCAATTGGTATAATTTTACTAAGACAATGAGATTATGCCTGGTCCAAGACAGTTTTTTTGAACCAACACAACCTTATCATCTTATTAATAAATAGGTCTAACTTAACAGGATTCTATTTGTCATTTTTTCAAATTGCAAGTGGACATAACATATAATTAATTTCAAAGCATAGTTAAATTATTTTTTTATTTTATAAACAACATTTAATAATTTTTATTAAGATCATATAGATAAATTATCCAGAATGTCTTTACTAAAAATGTTACAGTGCTCAAGATTACTCAAGGAAAGTTTACTGTTACATTAAATTTTATTATTTGTTATATACTCATTTTAACTCTTTAACATAGAATCTTCAACACCAGCCTATCAAGAAGAATAATATACTCTAGTCTTGGCGAAACTAAAATAAGCAAGTTCTTAGCTTTTCAAGATTATGCGACTTATTAAACATTAATTTATCATGCCTCTCAGACTTCATTTTACTAGGTTATGCCCAAATACCGAAACTTTTTGCATTTGAAAATTTTGACTACTTGAAACTTTTTACTTGAAGCTTATGTTTTAAATAGAATATAGAGAGAAGTAAAAAATTTTTTGAGGTTTATGTTATTATATCATAAAACTGGATTAATTGCTTCTTAGACTTTATGACTGCATGCTCTATGGGCTGGTCAAGAACGTGTGCTCAATGGGCTATTCTTTTTCTTCTTATTTAATTTTCCAGAAATACATAAAAATTTTCTGACAATTAGAAGTTACAATTATAAACTTACTGCTAACAATTTAAAGAAGTATATGACTGAGAAATAGTTGTGAAAGTATAATCATGCTTTAAATAATTTATTTATTTTTCTTCAAATATTTACTAATATTTTATTTTTTTAAAAGTTCATAAAAGAAGTTAACATTTAAGCAATTACTAGTTCAGCACGAGGATAAAAAACTTGCAATCGTTCTAACACAAAATTGGATTGAGAAACTAAGTGATTAAGTGAATTTAGAGAAGTTAATTATTTTTATTAGTTGATGTCTTTTTACTTTATAAACTGTATTAATTGCTTCTTAAGATTTTATGACTGTGATGCTGAGCCAGCCGGTTATGAACATAAGCTCAGAGGGCCATTTATTTTTATATTTAGGTTATTAAATTATTTCGAAAAATAGCCAAAAAATAAATTTCTAGATTTTTTTACAGAGATAGTTTATTATTTATTTTTATTAATTCTACTTTCATTATATGTTTTCATATATAAAAACTTTGATTTGATTTATTCTATTCTTTCTAATCTGCCTTTAAATGATGATAAAATATTCTGATAAGCCTTTTGTTGCTCTAATATAATGGTTTGAATTTCTGATGAGGGTATGTTTTACATTTGATTTATTAAGAAAATAATATTTTGCAAAGTCCAAAAACATGTAACCTTATGAGCATTATTCATATTAAATTATTAATTAATAAAATTAATAAATCTTATTTAAATTTGAAAATACTATGTAAAAGATTATTTAATTTGAGATTATTTAATTTGAACAATAAAAGATTGTCAGTTATAAGAAATAAAATTAACCAAGAACCTTTTGTGTTCATATAATTTTCAACACATGGCTTTAGTATAAATAACCTAAGCCAACTTTAATTTTCAATTTGAATCTGAATTAGAGATTACAGTTTAGAAATTATGCAAATTCAGTAATTTTTTCATAGTTTAAACAATAGAAAATTTACCAAAAACCATGTAATCAGAAGTTTCTAGTATTCAAGAAAATTAATTTGAAATAAAAATAATATGCAAGGTAAGATATAATGTGAAATTTTGTATATTCGCATATAATTTTCCAACTTCAGTAAGGCCATTTTTTATTCGAATTAAAATATATTTATACAAAAGTACATATTATTAAAAATGAACTTTATTAAAAAACATGATTCAAAAAGAACAAATAAACTGTAAAAAATCATTTAAAGAAAGGCTACTATCGGGAACTAAAAATGCTATTCTACTGAGGATATCATTAAAATTTTGTTCTGTAAAAATTAATAGGTGTTTAATTTTCAGAACTTTAGTTTGATATTCTGTTATATTTTTCGATTTATGAATTATCCAATCTTATCTCAAATGGCTTGAAATTTTAGTATATTCTTTATAAGTAATAGTTACATCATTTTGAAAGAAAAATACTATGTAAAATATGGCAGAATGAGCCGGTATCTCGAAATCTATATACCTTTCTTGGAGCTGTTCAATATCTACTGAATAAATTGCTGAAAATAAATCTGATGAAAAGTTTTGATCATTTTCAAGTTCCAAATGACTAAATAGAATGAAAAAATTAAATAATCGAAGTAAATAATAATGAAAAGGTTTTTCTAACTTGTCTTATTAATGCTTGATTAATATATTGTCAACATATTTTTATTTGCAGCTTCATAATCAGCACCAAATCATCATTGAAAACATTCTTACAAAATTGGCATCTGGTAATAATAAACTTTAGAAAACAATAGTATCATTCTGATAATTAAATTGGACATTCAAAATTTTGGTTTAGATAAAATAGTTGTGAAGCTCTCTAGATACTTTGCGTAAAGTGGTTATTTACTTAAGTGAATAGAACAAATATCTCTGAACACACATGAAATTAAAAAGATCCTTTGGAGATAGATATGACATAATTGCTAATAAAACACTAGTCTCATCCAGAATATTATTCCAGATTTTCTTTGTTTCAATGTCTTGTGTTTCAATATCTTGCATATCCATATCAAAAATTTCAAACACTTACGAACTCGATTCTATTTAAATTTCAAAAAAAAATTTAATATTATGAATATAAATCACATATTGTTATTTCACAATTTACTTCACCTAGTTCAGGACTTTGTACATTCTGTAATGATTTTTTCATCTCATCTTGTATATGTCGAAGCAATTCCTCTGTTTTTGGATCTTTGAATTGGTTCATAATATCTTTTATGATTCTTAAAGCTGTAGTAAAAATTTCTTTTTCTTTTCACAGATTTTCAATTTTTTTATTTAAATCTTCAATTTTAATGAGTATTATATCTTTTTTGAGTTTAAAATCTTTAAATTTCTTTTTGGCTTTACGTTCAAGATATTTCACATGATTGCTTAAGAATTCGATGGTAGCCCTTTCTGAATTGAGTCTATCAATTCGAAGAAATTTTTTAACTTTCGATTCTCAAGGCATAATCGTCAATTGTTCTATCTGGATAAAAATTATCCTTTAAATAGGTGCAATTATTATACAATTGCATTTGATAAATGCATATAAAGTAGATAATGACAAAAAGTAATTTCACATAATGTTATATAAAACACATATAAATACATTTACTGATATAACTAGAGATAATATATAAACAGTAAAATATTTTAGTTTAAACTACGAAAATTAAAAATCATGCAAATAGACTTAACTTAAAATCAGTTTATAATATTGTAATATGTAAAAAAACAGGCATTGGACATAAAGTCAAGTCTTATTATATTATTTACTTTATTTACTTTGTACGCTGCATATATATTTATGTAAACTAATATTATCATTATCTGTTATATGCATTTATACTGCAAAATAGCAGGTTGACTCAACAACTGAATCATGCCCTACTAAAATTCCACATTGTATATTACTTTATATATATTATACATGTTTTAGATCTAATATTGCTAAATAATATATGAAAATTACATGTAATTTGTCAAAACTATAAATTTATTGACTGACTCTCATAGTAGTTCAAATTTTTGGCAAAAAATATATTTGTATTACTTAATAATAAGTTGACTCAGTAACTGGGTCATAATTTATAAATACGAAAATCTATATGATTTGCCAAAACTATAAATTTATTAACTAACTCTGATAGTTCGGATTTTGGTAAAAGTTCCAATTTATAACAATAAAATACTTAATTATTATTTTATTTACGCAAATGAATAAGACATAATGTCACATTAAAGAGAATACCTGTTTTCATCAAATCAAGATGATTATTTTAATAATTTATCATCATATGAATCTAACAATTCATTTGACATTGGGAATGTATTAGTTTCTTCTCAAGGTAAGAATTTATAATTAAAATAGTAATAACAAGAGAGAAAATAATCATTCAGTTTTGTATAAATACAATTGCATCCAAAGAATTTTTTGTCCTACTAACAAATGAAATTGAACAAAAATTAAATAGCAAACTAGAAACAAGTATTAATAATATTAAAGATCAATATTATAACATTTATAAATGGCTTTTTATTATTTCATTTATACTTAATATTTTGTTTCTTTATTATTTTTGTCAAGACTATTTGAACATGGATAATACTAGCTTTCTATACATTTTCAAGAAGACTAATCAAAAATTACGATTTCTTTTCTGACAAATAAAATAAAGTTAATAAGATTAAATAAAGCTTTTCATTAGGTCTTCTAAATCTTTGCTTATATATCTTTGTAGTATAAATAGCTTTTATTAACAGCAATTCAAATATTCATTTCCCTCTGATAGATTGTGTAATATAATAAATTATTTTTCGAATAATAAAAAAATTTAATTTTCATTCGGAAGACAATTGCTAATTTCATAATTAATAATAATTTGGCAAATTTGATTGTTGACAATGTATAGTAGTTAATAAAATTAACTAAGAATAAATAAAATATAAATTTCTAGTTTGTAGTCTTTATCATATATATTTATAGCATTTGTGATATAAATAGCTATTATATTGTAATTCTGAATTAATGTCTCTGTAACAGAAACAAGTTATAGACCTTTCGTTTACATTATTACTTTCTATGTTACAGGCTTATTTATGCATATCAGATTACATTATCAGTTTTAACAGTAAGAGTCATGACTGCAAAAATTAAATAATGTATTCTTGTAATTTGCTATATGCAAAAATCTGCAAACCTTGGAGAAATTGAAGGTCTGCATAATCTCAGAAGGTACTATTATAATGGTTAAAGATTTAGAAAATTTGGTTACTTAATAAAATGAAATATTTATTATAAAGATCAGCCAAACTATATAACAAACTAGCTCATTACAAGCTTGAAATCATAGAAAACATGACACAAATAAAGATCATGTTAAAGCATTGAAATATTTAAAACAAGTACATGAATTAGATGAAAAACATGCTTCATATTTATTAATTCTTCTTAATGTAATCAACTAACAATTCTAAATTTCGATTTATTTTTCTTTGGTTTAAAAATATATAACTTATTTAAAGTTCATAAACCTATAAATTCAAAAAAATACTGTAACATGTAACCTTATTGTTACTAATATTTATTGTTATCTCTTGTTTAATGCTTAACACCACATAATTTTATTATAATCAATTATTAAATATTTGATTGCATCATTATTTTTAACAATAGTTTTCTTTACTCTCCTTAAAACAGGCTTTTTTTATTAATAATCTTGAAATATATTCTTGGTTATATGTTTTTATATTGCTAAATAACAACAGGATCATAATTTATAGGTACTAAATATACATGATTCATTAAATATATTAATTTTATTATTATATGCTAAAAATGTAAAAGGAAATTTATAGGATTCTATATGTTGTATATATATGCGAAATAGTTTCAACGAGGAAAAATATCAGTATGATGAAAACTCAAAATAGCCTTCAACTATGAAATCATGAAATTAAAAATTATCATATGAACATTTTGTATAAGAAACATGATCTTAAAAGGCACAAAAAGAATTATTTCAAAATTCTTTCAAATGAAATTATTGATATAATATTTGTAAATATCATTAATGATATTTTTAATATTCGAATTACATTTAAAAATTCAGTACTTGATTTTATTTCTTCAATGCAATTGATTAATTGAATAATGAAAACACATTTTGAAGTAAGTTTTCAACACTTTTATATGAATAGTTGGTTAAGACATGAATTTGAAGAAGTTCCAAATTATAATATAGAATTTTTAACTATATATAAATATTAATAGAATAGCCATGAGCATGGTAGTTATTTCTTTGCTGTAATGATGAAAGGTTATAATTATACATTTTGTAGGAAACTATGAGATTTTTTAATTACTTTTAAATATCATTTTTTGGAATATTTAAAAAAATTTTCCAACAAATTGAAGATGATAACGATGCAGATATTCTGAAACATTATTACCCTTTGATCGAATTTATTAATTACTTTAAGGATATTAGGGATCAACATCTAGATAGTGAAGCTTATTATTACTTTAAGAAATTATTTCATAAGGTATATAAAATGCTGTTTTACAGTATTAGCAAAAAACGTGCAAAAAAGTTTATGTTAATAGTAAAGCATATGAATATACTATTACAATAGCATTTGGTAGCATTAATATTTAGAGTTTTCTTATAATAAATCTTTAATTTTGAAAGAAAAAAATTTTATCATATCTTTATAATGTGATTGAAAATAATATATACTTAAATGAATTTTAATAAATACCAATTTACTAAGTTTATTTTGCAACTTAAACTTCTATTATTCTTATTTTTCAAAATTGATCACAACATGCAATATAATTATACTTCTAGGCATTTGAATCTGAACTATCATGAGATACACATCTTTCTCACTGCATAATTAGCTAATCACAGATAAAAATTCTTATTATGTGCATTAATACATCAAATTAGCACCATCCGTCTGATTGGCTGATGTAAAAATCAATAGCTGAACTTTAATTAGAGTACTTTTTATATTAATGTTAGTTTAGCATAAAACAGATTTTTAAGATCTTGAAATATTGTAGTCAGTTATTATTACTGTATTTTCTGTTATCATTATATACGCATAATGCATGCAATCCAGTTTTCATTCTTGAAATTGAATTCTTTTAAAAACAGGTTTATAAATATATATCGATGAAGTAAATTTATGAAAATCATATAATTTCTATATATAAAACCAGTAATTTTTATATTAACACCAAATTTGGCTTGATATCAATATTGTATAATTCAAAGAGATAATCTTTTAATCAATTGTCATAACCCTTTGAGTAGTTCGAATTTTCAAACTTTTTTTAGAGCATCACATAAACAAAATATAATTTTATGTGATTTCTATCAGAAAAATTTATTTTAGCAATCTATTGACTACACACGCGTAAGTTATTTATCTTTAAATCATTATAAATTAATTAATATTAGTTATTTTGTGAATTCTAGATTTTAAGGAGATTGATATTTTTACTAAAGCACATAATTCTGAAACCTGAAAAATTTATTTTACATGAGATTCGATCAAAACTATTTTACAGAGAAAATCTCTTATTCAATTGTAATATTTAATAAACTACAATCTGATTGTACATACATTCAATTCTGTCAAAACTAGCAAGTCCATTGACTGACTAATTATAGCAGTTCATTCTCATGACACAATCAAAAGTTTAATAACTTATCCTTATAATAATTTAACATCATAAAAATTTCATGCGTAGAAGTTGTTCTATCTTTAAATCATTTGCGATGCTAATTAATTAAAAAGTTTATTGACTAGTCATCAGATATACAAATCTATTGACTGACCCCTTAATGCAGCTCTTCTCAAACAAGTAAAATTTAACATGTTTTTTCCAAAACTGTAAGTTTATTGACTGACCATAGTAGGTTGAGATCAAATAAAAAAAATAGCTTTTTAGAAAATCATTGAAGAAATTATCTATTAAAATATTATATAAAAGCTTAAAATTCTACAGTTGCCAGATTATTCTTTGTTTAAGAAAAAACAATAATATGCCAGAAGAATACCCTTATTACTGTGTTAAATGTAACGATTATTGTTTATTCTACGATGCAAGAAAAAGAAAGGAATCACAGATTCTTTATCAATGAGAACAAGTCATGTATTCAGGACCTAATGACTGCCAAAATTATGATATTTTTAGCCAACATAATTTTCAAACCATTCAACCAAATCAACCTAATCAATTTTCTTATGATCCTAGTTTTCAGCCTCTTTCTAATCCGAATTGGCAGCCTAACTAACTTGTTTATCGATTTCAGCAGAATAATAATCCTAATTGTCATTATCAACCTATCTATGATCAATACCAAATTCAAAATAATCATCAATCTATTCAACAGAATAATGTTTTTCAATCTCAACCTAATCAACTTCAGCATCAACAAAATAATCTTCAACATCACTACATTCAACCCAATTTTTTTTCTCAACAGAATAATTATGAACTTCAACCTGGAAGTTCCCAAACCACCAATATTTCAAGTGAACAGATAATGGAAATGTTTTTTCAATTTCTGCAAAATAATGTTAGCATTAATAATGAAAGCAGTATTAGTCAAAATGAGTTGCCAGATTATCTTTCTAACTATGAAACAGCAACTGCTAATACAACAGACATAAACAAATTCAGGTTTCACCTCTTATCAATCAAGTAAATGCTAATGCCACTGTTTTTATTAGTCAAGAACATCCAAAACTTCGTACTTTTATGTTCATTTTTATGTGTTTTATCATAATATTTTTATTCATTGCAATTGCTTCCAATATGAATAATCAAATTAAAATTTTGCAGTCTATTTTTGATACCAATGGGGATTTTTTCTTACATGTACAAATAATGAATCAATTTGCTTCATTGATTAATTCATTTTATAGCATAATCAATTATTTGTTGAAAGCATCTAGATGCATTAAAGTAGGCATTTGATAGATTAATTTTTTGATTTTTTCAATTTTTTGATAAATACTTTTGTTTTAAAATAAAGGTTTTTTTCGCCATGATTTTACATATTACTAAAAATTTAATTTTGATTGTGAAGTAATGATGTATAATAAATTAATACACACAAAAAACCTTTGATGTTAGCTGTTTCGATTACTTCTTGAGTTGAAATTGTTTATTATTACTTTTTGAATATTCAATAATTTCAACTTTTGTATAAATAAATATTATTGCTATAAGTGTAATTTATCTGGTTTGCATTAATTGATGAGAAAATTGATAATAAAATTTATTCTGTTAAGTTTATTGACTAAGAATTAAAAGCATATATTGAATAAGTTTATAGTTCACATTGTTACATGATAATTTTTTGAATAAAGATTATATATTTATTTTTTTTGACCCTAAATTTGCTAAAAAAATTCTTGGTTTTTCTATCAAAAAAATTATATTAGTAAAATGATGCATCAACTTTTCATACATTTATTGAATGAAGTCATTATAAATTATTTGAATGCCTTAGAATGAGTACAAAGATTATAAACCTTTACTTTCATGTCTAGTAAATTGTACTGATATTTTGATTAAACCAAGATACCAGTTTAAAGACATAAGACTTATTAAGACATTACTTCTAATGTACTGTATTTTATTCAACTATCGATTTTATTTGATTAACCAATTTAATTGTAGGAGTTAATAATAATAAGATATGAAAAAAAGCTTAATCTCAAATATTACTACCAAAATAGTTAGGTAAGAAACACAAACTGGATCAAAACTGGTAGTTAGAAAAAAAACTCAAAATCTCAAAAAAACAAATTGAGCAACTTTTTAGACTTTTGATAATAAAATCTGCTTTGCCTTGTTACTTAATAAAAGATTTATTAGATTTTGAGCAAAGATGTTTTGGTTTACTTTATCTATTATATCAATTGCTAAGATTATTGCTAAAATTAACTCATAAAGAATAATAAAATTTGCTCTTTACAATAATAAAAAAGCATTTTTGCATAGTAAATTAATGCCATAACCAAAAATTTTATGATCTTAGCAGCTTCGATTACTTCTTAAGTTGATATTGTTTTATTTTTATTTCTTGGATATTTGATAATTTCAATAGATGTAGGAGTAAAGATTATAGCTGTAATTCAATGTATTTAATCAAAAAGATTTGAATCTGAAATTCATTAACTCTAGTCTCAAGTTTATTTACCTGGCTTTTCTTGACTAATAATTACTGTAGATACTATTAATAAAAATGCAATAGTTGTAAAAACTTGGATGAGAAAATTGATAATGCAATTTATTTTGTAAACTTTAAAGTTAATAACAGTTAAATTTTTGATTTTTATGAGATTAAAATGTGATAACAGATCATATTCTATTTTTCAGATTTGCATGTAGATAGTATTTAAGTGCTTTTGTAATTTCCTCGGAAAAAAATAAAGAAGCATGTCATAAGAGGTTATTCAGACTACTATACTATTATTTTTACTCATGATCCATATTTATAATTTTATTGTGCTTTACTGGCTTTTCTATTTTTCATATAGGTGGATTTTTATAATCAAATATAGGAAATGTCTAAAGCAAGTAACTTATAAATTAATATTTTGTCAAATTAACTTTAGTGCTGGTGTAGACTAATTACTTCATTATTATAGAATATTGTTAAACATCTTGCATAATTCTTACAAAATTTTTATTTATTTTTGAACTTTTAAATGAAGATAAAAAGAACTTCTAATAAAGTCAAAACAATCTAACTGCATAAGGCCACACGAAGTTGATTCTTAGTTTTGCATCACATGGATTTCAAATTTTCAGTTAGTACTATGGGAGAACTCTGAAAAACTGTCAGGTGAACCAGACAAAATGATAAAAAAATTAAATGCAAAAATCGAATAATTGACACAATTGGCACTTAAAAATTGAAAAAAAGTGTCAGTCAGGTAATGCAAAATGAAAAATCAACTTTGTGTGGCCTAATCTAATAGCTATCACAAAAATGCAAAAAAATTGCATTTGTTAGTATTTGATTATAACCCCAATTTATATACAACATGAAGAGTTCGACTTTGTAAATTAGGTAACAACATTGTTACTAATTTTAAAGTTTTCTTTTCACCCAAGTCGTTATTCAAATAGTTATAAATTTGGGTCAGTTGGATATTTTAATTATTCAAAACTTTAAAAACTTGATACAGTATCAAAATAAACAACTAATTTATTAAAAATGATATAACTTATATGCATACAATAATCATAAATCATATTACCTTCTAGACTTTTATTCAATTCTTCACAAAGAGTTAGATCTTGTAAATTAGGTAACAACATTGTCTCCAATTTTAATCTTTTCTCTTCATCCAATTTATTGTTCAAATTGATACAATTTTGGCTTAGTAGAATGTTTTGATTATTCAAATCTTTAATAACTTGATATAGTATTAAAATTAACAATCAATTTTTATTAGAAATGTTACAATTTATATAAATACTAATAATTATAAATCATATTACTTTTAATCATTTCTTCTTTCAATTCTTCCTTCAAACAATTGATTTTATTGAATGAAAAAGATTCTTTTTGTTCTTGCTTGTTCAAAATCAAAGGTACTTATATAGATAGCTTTAATTAGTAAATTCTAAGAATTATGTATTCTCATATATAACTAAAATATAATGATTATTTATGTTTCTTTTTGCTATAAGACTTTGTAATCTTAAGTTTCTTTACAGTTCTTCTATATAAACCATTGTTCCTAGCCATGGAAATTCTCAATTTATTATTTGAAGCACTATAAAAGAGAGATAATTATTAGAAACTTTTTATTAAAGTCAAAACAATTGATAAGAGATTATTTATGCCTCTTATTAGTATATGATTTGAAATCATTATTATTTGTTAGAGTCATTAATTCATCTATCATAAAAATATTGTATAGTTCATTAACTTCATTATAAATTAAGTGCATTTATTCAAGATAATTATGATTATTATAATCATAACATGTTAACAGAAATAAACTTATATTCTTATTTCCATTTGTAACTGAGCTCTAATCAGATTTGTAAGACATTATAATTGAACTTTTAGCCTGATAAATTCATGGCAAATGAATTAAAATCCTTAATGTTGAAATAATATGTTTTATGAAACCATAACATGCGAATTAAATTCTCTACATTCAATTCTATATATAATCAGCATAGTTAAAAAATTATTACCTAATATTCAGAGAAGAATATTTCTTCTATAATCAAAAAAGATAAGAGTTGTCAATTTATTAGTTTTCAGCTCATGATTTCCATATAAACAAGATAATGATTATAGAACCAATTATCTTATTTTGAGCATGTTTAAAATAAATTAAAATATATAAATATAAAGAATAAAATAAAAAAAACAATAAAAAATTTTAATCTATTTCTGTATATTAGTATAATTACCAGTTCTTAATGTTAAATTATTAAAAAAAAACAGGTTTACAAATATATACAAAATACAAATATACATTTAAAAGTACAATTGAGGCATGGAAAGCTTTGGTCCGAGTAATCAGGTATCAATATTATATTATAAAAATATACCTAGTTCATTAAAACAATAATATATAATAACTGGTTATCAAATGCATACATTTCATATCGATACTGTACATATTAAAATTTATGTAATCTATTAAATAAATTATATAGTAGCTCAAATAACTTTCTGCAAAACCTGTTAATACTGTAATATAAGCTATAGTATCTGAATAAACTGAAAAACTGACTGTACTCTACTGTGACTTAAATTATTTATTATATATATTAAAATATATAAACCAGTTTTTAAACAAATAGAGAAAACTGTTAAATTAAATGGGCAATATAATACTTAAAAATAAAGTTATAAAAAATAATTATAGGCTTATGTGTTATATAAATACTAATTCATTTTGTCTGGAATTTTAACCTCATCACTGAGATGCTGCCTCAAAGAAAACATCTCAGTGGTGGTAGACTTTGTAAAACTTGGGCAATAAATTCAAATGTTCTGGTTGCCTACACACTTTTGATAGTCATACAGAAGTTGTTACTCACATAAAAGAAATACACAAAACAACTTTATTGGGATTAACATATTGACAAGATTCAAAACTAGACGAAAATTTGTTGTTTAAAGTAGATTCGCATAAAGAAGATTTGTGTAAAGAACTTGATAGACTTATTAACAAGTTAACGAATGCTGAAATCAAATATCTGCCCTTAACTAAGTATGAATATCCTGTTAAACAATTATTTGATCAAAGTCATCAGAGTATTTTACAGTTGTGGAAAATTTTTATGAAGTTTACCCAATGTCAATTTAGTTTAATGCAGACTATTCTGATTAAAAAAGTCATAGCAGAAAAAGAAAAAGTAAAAGCTACAATTGAGAAGTAATATTTTTGTTAAAATGATTTTTGCTTAAAGTTAAAAATTTATTTGTTGATATTTTTTTTAGTTTACGCACAGAAGTTGCAAATCTTAAATGTGAGCTTATTAAAAATAATGATCAAATCATGTTATTAAATAAAAGGCATAAAAAATTACTTAGTACATCTGAAAGTTTATGATAAATTATGCTATTCTTAATAAAGATTACGTAGCATTGTTAGACAATAATAGTAATTATTATATAGAATGTTGTCATTTATTAGAGCAAGAAAATAGTGTCTTGGTTAAACAGATATGTTTTTATATTATTAGACTGTCCTATATTAAATATATGTAGTATATGCTATATTTTTTTGTTATTAAATATGTAGAATTTGGAATTATTTGAATAAATCAGAGAATTACGCAAAGAAATCAAAATATTACACAAAAAAATTAACAAATTAAAGAAAAGAAATAAATCACTTTCTTGTGTAATTGTTATTGATGATTGATAGTATTTCAGATTTTTTTCGAATAAAATACTATTAGTTGCTTGCACCAATGTTGATTACCAGATACGATTCTTAAATATATGTTTTTCATTCTTTATTAGAATTGAGTATTGGAACTTTGAGGAAAGTAAAATTTGTTTACTTTGTTTATTTAATTTATTCAGATATTCACTTTTTGCATTTCATTAATGTTAGAAGAATCGAGGCAAGCCTTTCAGAGTGATTATAGTGAAGAAAACACATTTTAGCTTTTTGAAATTATTGCAGTGAAGAAAGGCTCCGCTGAGATTTCACGTGAAATAGAAGTTTATATAGGTTCTTCAGAGTTATGTAGGTATGGCTAGAAGTGTAATTACACTTCTAGTTAACAATAAAGGAATTCCAATTAGTATATAAAAGAAGAGTTATTACTATCACTCCTATATATTGGTCAAGATTTAAATATATAATTATTTTACTTAACATATTTTAAACCTTTATGATTATATATGAAATTACAATAATTAAATTACTTAAATCTGAGAGGTTTATGTAAAGTAAAACTATATTTAAGAAATTCCAACATTGTTATACAATTATTTCTCATTTCGATTTCGAGACACTCTAGAAACAACTGAGTTTATTCTAAGTTATGCTTGCTATACAAAAAAGTAAAATTCACACAATTTTGTTATACATAGTTTGCTTATTCTTGGAAATGATATGGGAAAGGCATTAGTAAATTTCCTTCACATGAATACATCCTTAACATCATCACAAATTGGTGGTAATCAATTTGGTTTGAAGTAGAAAAAGTAATAAAAGAAATGATTCATAAAAAAACCAGAGATTTAACAAATATAACTAATTTTGGTTTATTAATTGTTTTTTTGTAGAGGTTTTGGTTATTATATTTTTTAATTCTTGCATTCTCTTCCAATTCGATTTGGGTTTAACAAAAAAATCGATAAATTAAGCCTACTATTTAAACTTGTAACTCTTAAAATATAGTGTTAATAAATTAATCAAAATTAAATAAATAAATAATAAAAATTAAAAAAAAAAAAATCTTTCCTGTAGATCACAAAATACTAAGTAAAAATAATCAACAAAAAATCATGCATATCCTATTGATATACTAAGTACATATAGCCTTTAACTCTTCCTTGGCATTTAGGCCATACCAGATATATACAGCAAACAGAGAAATCAAACATAAGCCAAAATTAAAAGAAAAAAGAACAAAAACTATAACACCACCATAGACAAAGAAAACACACACAGGCCAGCAGGCCCAACAGCCCAGTTCTTCTTCGAAACCCTCCTACAGCTAGAAACAATGAAACAAACTACAGTTATCAGCAAGACTACACTCCGAAAAAATAAAGCTACCATCAAGCAAGACCCTACATACCTAGACTCTCCACCTAAAAAAAGACATACTCTCCTTTCCAGACTACAAAACAACAAAAAAAGTGGGCAATCCAGCTTACTTCTGACAAACTCCACTATGACATCATTATACATACACAACAACAACAAACCTGCTCAAACTGGTTCTAACAATACAGCAACAGGAATTAAAGACACTGAAAATAGCTACATCATTATCTTCTACAATGATAACACGCATATTACTATAAGCAGCAACAGCAAAGCCAAACAAACACTCCAAACAGCAACTACATCAAATAATCTAGAACCTACAGACCCCCAATATGGCAACCATAACAACAAAGAACAAACAAATCCAGATGACCAAAACATAGATGCTGAATCTATTGCTACAATAGCAGCAACTCTGATGAACAAAAGCCTCTTACTTACAGCCAAATAGTACAGAAAAATATTCCTACACAAAACTCAACATATGACAGTATGAAGATAGACTACACACAAGAATGGGTAAACAGCATATGCAACAACCTGCAAGAAAAAAGCACACATCCTTTCAATAAGGAACTATGGAACTATAATGAAATTATCACAGTACTAAAAACCAAAAAAAAAATCTATGACTTCATAGAACACAAGCTACTTACCAAACCTACAAACTTCCCACTTCACCTAGCAATTGAAGCCAAATTCAAACACTAAGACCCAGCTTTCTTCCTCACCTTTACAAAAAACAAATGTTCAATACCTCAGCACCAAATCATCTATGAAGACTTATTCAAAACAACAATAAAAAACTACAAAACCATGCATGAAATCACAATAATAACCAGAGCGATTATAGATACCATACATATAAAATTTAAACAAAAAATCATGATTGATTACTTAACCAATACTAACTTCACAACTAACATATCCAGAACAATCTGCTCCTTAATTAAATATTATAAAAACTTTACTAGAGACATAACTCCAATTGACTTCGAAGATATACAAGAAGCAACACAGACTATGTTTTTAGCACAGCTCGACCCTCTCCTAGCAAACCCAAAAGAGATACACAGTGAAATTCTACAAATACTCCCTTTTAGTCTTTCTATAAAACAAAAATTACAAACAAAAGCTATTGTAGCAGGGCTATACAAGATATACAACTTTGAATAACTACCAGAAGCATACTTTATTATACTTAATCCAACTCCAAGAAATATAGAAGACCTAGACCCCACAGTACAGCATCTCTTCCCAATCACTGAATGAAGCCAACTGAACAACTTAGCATTTTACAAAAGAAGGCTACAAGAATTCTACACTTGTAAAAGCATATCTTCAAGCTACTTTGACCTACCACCCCATAAAAAACTACTTCCACTAGCATACCAAGACCTCAGCAGCAAATACAGACTCTATTTTCCACTAGACTTACAAGATCCTGATACAGACATCTCACAGGTTGTGCAACTCCTTAGAGAAGAATTTACATTTAGAAACCTTCCAAATGACTATATTAAAGCTAAGCCACCTTTTTCAAAGGATGCTACTAAAATTAAAACACCAGACCTATTTACTTTTCCAATAACAGAAGACCAAGAAGCAAAATGATTTATAGACCAGATCACATCAACATACAAGTTTTCTCTTCCACTTCCTTCCAGTATAATGACAGCTAATCCTACAAATAAACCTTGCTTACCTGAAGACTCACAAGAAATCAAAGACTTCAATATTACAACTCCTATAACCTCAACCAAAGAACTTATAGACACAGCCAAAACACTACAGCAGACATACTATTTTTATCGCATCTCAGACACCTGGATTGATATACTTGAAAACACTAACCAAACAGAGATGCAAAACATAGATCAAGAGGAAAACAAAGAAAGAAATCTCCCCAAACCAACAATTCCAAACTCATTAACTGAAGTCCAAAACTACCTAACTACCAAAAAAGTAGACCTTTCCAAAACACCCATCCCAATTACTCAACAAACAAAGGCAAAAGATACACTAGAATTATTATAACAACACTTTACTATCAACAGCATTCCTGATAATCTTTTAGCATTGCCACCTCTTCCAGAACCCAACTGGGAGATCTTCTCATCCAAGTTTTAACAATGACTACACAACCCAGCAGTTCAAATACAACAACACTCATTTTCAACCCCTTAACGAATCAAACTAATACTAATTTCATTAACATTAATAACCTAACAATATGTACCCACAATGTGCAAGGCATCAACAACAATCTCAAACTACAACTATGCAACTATGGCTAGAATACTGTTATAAACAACATTTTCATATTATTTGCATTCAGAAAACAAAAATCACAGAATCTACTTTCACAAAACTCCAACTAGCCAACTCCTATTATAAAGTTTACACATCCAACTGCAATACTGATACAAAAAAAATAAGAGAAAGCAGCCTTGGCACAGCAATTGCACTACACTCACAACTTCAACCCTATATACATGATATCACTACTTGTTCAAATACTGCAATCATGATAGACCTATTCTTTCCTCTCTATAACAAAACCAGAATTATTTCTGTCTACCTACTATCATCTAACTAGCAACTCTCAACTAATACCCAAAACATGACAATAATATGAATACAACAGGCCCAAACAAAATCCTATCATATAATTATCACAGGTAATTTCAATAATAATTTGTTATCTAACACAAGCAGAAAAAAAACCTACCTGCTTTACTACCTTATTACCTACAGCTTTATAAGTACTCTCAACTACTTTGATATCAGTACATCTACTTGGCAATGTGCAAATCAATCCAGCCAGATTGATGACATATGGATGTCATCCAATATCATCTATCAAATTGATACACTACTTCTAACTATACCAACTGAATCTACAAGAAGTGATCACAAAATAATATACATAATCTGGAATACAAACTTTATGATCAAACACAAAAGATACAAAAAAAAGAAAAGAACAATATACCTATACAAACAGATGGACAAAGATAAGTGAGAAGAATTCAAAACAAAAGTCAATCTATATACAAAAAACAGAACCAATATGAACACTGAACTGATACCTTATACTCAAACCCTCAATCAACAATGGCACAAACTCAGTACAGCAATAAGAAAGGCAGCCAACAAAACAATTTCGACAACAAAAATCACATCCTATACCCATCTGACATTTACTAAAAAAGCAACACAACTTCATACAGTATTAAAAAATATCAACAAAAGTTTACATATAACCTTATCTGCTAGGCCACCTATATCAGTACAAGAAATTATAACACAAATCAACT